AATAATCTGTGTTGGAAAGGACTTTTAAAGGTCATCTAGCCCAACCCTTCTGCAGTAAGCAGGGATATTTTCAACTAGACCAGGTTACTCAGAGCCTCATCCAACCTGGCTTTGAATGTTTCCAGGGACAGGTCATCTGCCACCTCTCTGGGCAACATGTTCCAGTGATTCACCATCTTCATTGGAAAAAAATGTCTTCCTTGTATCTAGTCTAATTCTTGCCCTCATTCAGTTTGAAGCCATTCCCCCTTGTCTTACCACTACCTGCTCATGTAAAAAATCCCTCTCCACATTTCTTGTGTGCCCCCTTAAGGTACTGGAAAGTTCTCCATGGACCAGGCTGAACAATCCCAGCTCTCTCACCCTGTCTTTGTAGGAGAGGTGCTCCAGCTCTCTGAGCATCTTCATGGCCTCCTCTGGACTCACTCTGACAGGTCCACATCCATCTTTTGTTGGGAGTCCCAGAGCTGGTTCTGTGACGGTGTTCACAGGTGTCTTAGGATGAGGGAAGAGACGTAGATCTGACTCCATGTTACAGAAGGTTTGATTTATTATTTTATGATATATATTACATTAAAACTATACTAAAAGAATAGAGAAAATAGTTTCTCATAAGGCTAGTTAAGCTAAGAATAGAAAGGAAAGAATGATAACAAAGGCAGCTGCCTCAGACTCTCTGTCCAAGCCAGCTCTGCTGTGATTGGCCGTTAATTACAAACAACCACATGAGACCAATCACAGATGCACCTGTTGCATTCCACAGCAGCAGATAATTAATGTTTACATTTTGTTCCTGAGGCCTGTCAGCTTCTCAGGAAGAAAAAATTTTAAAGAAAGGATTTTCATAAAAAGATGTCTGCAACATGGTTCAGTACTCCAGGTGGAACAACACAAGAGCAGAGTCTCACAAGTAGAGGGAGAGAATCCCCTCCCTGGACTTGGTGGCTTTGCTTCCTTTGATGCAGCCGAGGATGTGGTTGGCAATATATGAAGAGCTGCCTTTAGTTCACAAAGCCCAGAGAGAAGTTCTGATTGCTGGTAAAGCTGCTTTCCTCAGACGCTGGGCTGGGTGCTGTGCCCTTCCCAGGCTGTGTCCTGGAGCTGAGCTGGCTGCTTTGCAGGGCTCAATGGCAGGGTGAAGGCCCTGCAGCATCAGCTGAGGCTGTCTGTCTGCTCTTTGTGTGAAACCAGTGTTCTCCTGTGGTGAATAGCCCTGGGGATTGCTGCAGTGAGGGATGAGGCTGCTCTGATGTTAACAGGAGGTGGCTGCAGTGAGATCAACCCCTCCTGCATTGAACTCCATGGGCGAGCAGGATGGAGGGTGGACACACAGTGTCTCCATCAGTAGCCCAGCTCTTGAGGGCTGCCCAGAATATCCTCACCTCCCTATTCCTCACAAACTAAGGCTACTCCTGGCTGCTTCTGGACTGTGAAAGGATAGCCAGCCTGGGATCCAAGCCCTTCCTTGCATTCAGCACATGGAAGAGGGTAATTAAAGGAGTCATTCTTGCAAGTCAGACTTTTTGTACAGCTCTTCAAACCTAGAAACCACTCCTTTTTCTCCTGGCACTAGGCTCAGCTTGCTGAAACAAAGATTAAAAGCCTGGATTCCACTAAAGATTCTTCAGTGGCAGCCCAAACAAGCTCCCTGGAGAAGATGAACTATCCCCTGCACTGTTTGAGCTTGAGCTTTAGCAAAATGGACTGATGAGGAAAACATAGGTAGTACTGCAGAGATGAATTTGATAAAGGTGGCAGAGCACAGTGAGGCATGAAAGGCTGGTTAAGTGTTTGCTTTTATGTATAGCTGAGTTCTAGGTCTTTAGACAAGACTTAATCTTTTCTATAAACAAATAACACATCCATTTACATGAATAATCCACATTTCTTATGCAAATCATTTGCCTGCTGCTATTTCTACTGAGAATAATATTCAGTATAATTACCACATTTATTTAGTGAATCTATTTACACAGGATAGCTCTCTGTCCATGAGCGCTCTTCACCAGAGAAGCCCAAAGAGCAACAGGGGAGGCCAAGCTGCCAGTCATGTGTGCCCTGTACCTTCTATTTTTGTTCCCATGAAGCATTCTGGGACTGTTTGAGATGTCTGGGAGAGAGCAGAAGGATGCCAGCATCCTGCCTCCATCCCAGGGAGAGCACCTGCTGCTAATGGAAGGCAGCTCTCCCCTGCTCACCAGCCTGCTGTTTGAGCTCCAGCTAACTATAATGAGGCAAGGCACTTTGAATAATAACTTTCCTTTGGGTATAAGGCTATCTTAATTTTTTGTGTGTTTAAGTTGGTAATTGCCACAGAGTTTGAAAATCTTCCAGGTTTTACCACTCCTAATTATGTTCTCATGCATATGCATCCCCTGCTTGTGTGCTCATTACTGCGAGGAGATCAGAACCCCGAACGCTGGAGCAGTTCCCTCCAATTATCTTCCAGATGCAGAAGTTCCTGTGAAATGCCTCTCCTGCATGGGATGGCCCAAGGTGTTTGGAGAACATCTTGCTGTCCAGAGCACATTTTGCTCTGGGTGGTAAAATCAAGATGAGTTTCATCCCTCACATGTCTCACCCAGACTGCTCCTACCTGGGATGTCTCCTTGCTTGTAGCACCAGCCATTGAAATACTTGTTCAGGGGAAGTTATTAAGGTGTCCTAATGGAAAATATTTCAAGTTTCTAGGGCCCTGATTGCCTCTTTACCTGCTCTGTTTGCATCTATTGATCATTCTGGTTCAACAAGACCCTCTGGGACTAACAAACACTAACAGGTTTGAATGCATTCATGAGGTTCTACGCAGGGAAAGAAAAATAATGCTGTTGGGCTTCTGACTTGTTCTTGCTCAATAACAGCAAAACAAATGTGTGCAATTAAACATTACTTTGTTTTCTAAACAGCAGCCTTGAAATTTTGTCCTCCTAGTGGGGGAAGCAAGCTGGTGCTTTGCTGTCTGACCAACAGCAATGATTTGGTGATGGGAAAGGAGATGTTCATCCACCTGAGCACGTTCAGGGTAGAATCCATTCATTCCCTTGTAGGTAGGCAGGATTTTTAGCACCGTGTGTGTTTTTCTGTAGGAGATCACAGTGGATCCTGTGAAAAGATCAACGTGGAGCAAGCACAGCCATTGACATTACTGTCTTTTTGTACAGAGTACATGTACAAAAGTTAACAAATAGTTAACTGCTTGTTAACTATTTGTCAGGGAGCTGTGGGGTTTGTAGTTGTCAGCCCCTTGGAACTTTTGTTCTGAGAGAGGGAGGTTGCCTGATCAAATAGAAATCCCTGTCTTTATGCTTAAAGCATTGGATTGTGTATGAAGAAATGTCTATTCCTAGACACCTCAGCTAAATAATGGGATTAAAATCTTAAGAAGTAAGGTGATGTGTGGCTCCCTGTCTCCAGTGTTTGTGCCCCCCAGGAGAAGGGCAAGATAAACAGTCAGGATTTTTTCCTGTGAAAATTTTTATAGGGGGAAGAGGGTAAAACTTTCCACCCAGCTGTGAAAACCCTCCTTCCCCAGAAGTGCCTGGTGCAGTATTGCATATTGCCAGCTGTGTTAATAGATGCCTAGATCCCAGTTGGCATTGGGCCACGCTTACATATCCCAGAAATAGAGATTTAATTCTGAAGTCTGCTTAACACCTGCACACAAAAGGACAGAGGCATTAAAGGTGTTTTAAGGACAAAGCTTTATTTTAGCTAATGTGTTCTCTCACCCATCACATGACTTGCTCTTTATTCTGTTGAGTGTCACCTGTCCAAACCACAATTTTGGGCTTCAATGTGTCTGAGAGACACAGTCCTGCAGCTGGCTAAAAAGGACTGATTTAGCACATTCAGAGCAACAAAAGGGTTTGGTCTGAATTCTGGCAGGGTTCTCTGCTTTTAGAGATGGATATGGGGGTGGTGGGGGGGTTGTGTGCATGTGTGTGAATGCACACAGGAGCACAGGTGAGCAGCTCTGCTTTCCCTGGAAGTCTCAGCAGCACTGGGAACATGGGTTTTACCAGAGCTGAGAGCTGCAGGGTGCCCAGGACCTCACAGGTTCTGCTGCTGGTAAAGATTCACCTGCCCTGTGCTCTGCTTATTGATTGTGTACTGCAGCTTGGCCCATAAAACCCTCTCTCTGCTGCCTTTGGTCTCAAATACCCCTCTGTGGCCATTTGCAGTGCCTGCCACTGATGGTGGTACAGTGACCTGGAGCTAGGCAGCTTACTCCACCAAAACACTGAATAAAACAGGTTGTGGCATCAGCAGCCATTGCTTATCCAGGAGCTTTTCCCAGAAAATAGGAGCATCAGGAGAGACTAACAAGCACCAGAGACATCTGGGGACAGACAGGATCCAGAGAGCTTTACTGCAGCAATAAAGCCCAGAGGAAGGGCAGGTCAAGGGAACTGTTCTTTGCTAAAATGTCCCTCAGTCAGACACTGAAGTCAATGTGTCTCCCTTCAAATTTCCATTGTGTCTCCCTTCAAATTTCCATTGCTTTTCCCCCTGTTCCCACACCTGCTTGAATTGGCATCATTGGGCACCTGGAAATGCTGTGAGTAAAGGCTGCATCTAGTCCAGAAAAACCTGTGCTCCAGCAAATGGAGACAAGGACTGGGGAGCATGGGAATGAAACACAAGTACAAGTGGGTGCCCATTTGATTGCAGTTGCTGGGAATGGAAAACACCTTGAGGTAAGCAAGAATTCCCCCAGCCTTCCTCCAATTTCACTACAGAGAAGTGTTTGCAGTTGTTCCAGTGGTGAGGGAGCTCAGTGCTGCCTCATCCATCAGTGCCACAGACACTAGCCTGGAGGTGGGAGCCTGACTTGTAGGAGCTGCAGGCAAATGTCTGGGTGTGTGCTCTTGCCCATCCACTTGGGAAGCAGCTTCTGTTGCTGCAGCTGACTTGATGAGAGTATCAATTAACAAATGCTATTAAAGCAGCTCTCCTCTTTATTTTTTTTTTTTTTTTTAATGCATGGCATTTCCTGACAGCTTAAACGTTTAATTAACTGGAGATGCCGTCGTGGAAAGTTTGCTGGAGAAGAATGCTTGCGGTTTAATTAAAAGGAAGAAAAATCCTTCAGAGGTACTGAAAGAGATCTGCTTGCAACACTGATAGTGGCAAAAAGCCTGCAGGAACTCCTGCACTTCCCTTTCTGAGTGCAGCAGTAGGTGAGGAGGTGCACAGCAATATCATCACCCTAGAGGAGAAGGTGAGTGCTTCACAGCTTCATGTTTGACCCTCCCATTTAAACTGCAGATGTAGGACAAGCTACAATTCTGTTACCTCAGCAAGGGAGAGGAGACAGCCAATAAAAAAGTTTTGGTTTTGTTTTTTTAATACTTTAACTTACTATTCTCCTGGTATTAGGCCAGAGCTCTCTCTCTAACATGTTTGGTTTTCTCCAAGGGCACACAGAGAGAACATTTTTCATATAAGCACTGGTCTGATTTTTTTTGGCTTCTGTTACAGCACAAAAACAAAGGCAGATCTTTCCTGCCACAAAAAGTGTGGAATACTGTTCACATTATCTTCAACAGCCATCATGAACGCTGTTTTTTGAGATGGCAGAGCAGTGCCTGAGGTGGCAGAGAGCCTTGGCTGCCCTCACAATGCTGAGGGCTGTGTGAGATTTAGCTGTGGGTAGGAACCATCAGCTCAGCACACACTTGCACCCCTGCAGCAGCTTTCCACAGGGCCACAGCACGGTGGTGTCAAGTGCTGCAGAGCTGGGGACCCCCATGGCAAAGCAACAACCTCCTTGCTCCTGTGCAAGGGACTTCTGCCCTCCCTCTCCTAACACTGACCAAGTGACCCGGAGGCTTTTTGAACAGCTACAGGTCGGAAAAGGAAATTTTGTTCCCATATTAAATATGGAAGTCCCTGACACGACTGTTCACATCTGAAGCACAGCTCCACCCACAGAGGGGTATCAAATGGTTCTGAGTCATCTCGGGGAGCAGGCTGGGGCTCTGGGGTGCTGCTGGGCCAGGGCAGGTGCTGGCTTGTTGTCCTGCAGCTTCTTCTGCACCCAGGCTGGCACCTCTGCTGCTGGTGACCAGGGACAGCTGGGCTCCTGCTGAAACAGGCCAGTGCTCAGCACCTGCCAGAACAGCAATTTGGGAGCACAGCAGCACACCCCCTCTGCCAGGGTGGGAGAGAAACCTCTGAATGAACATCTTCCCCTGAGCCTGGAGGATGCACCACTGAATGAAATCCAGCCCCCTGTATAACCACCTATTACCATGCTGACCCTTTCAAATGCTGATGTCTTATTTTTTTGCAGAGTCTTTCTGATATATGTGCTACTGGAGGCAGCACTTCTTCATGGGGATGGTGCACTGCCATGAACAGCACTGAGTGCTGGGCCACACCAAGTTGAACCAGACTCCTGGTTAAAGCTACCCCTGCCTGATCCAGATCTTCCCCTGGCACTGGAGCTCTGTCCTAGAAGCCCCTTTCAATCCAGAGCTCAGTGGAGCTCCTCAATCTTACAATAACCTCCCATGTTCAGCTGAGACTCCTCAATATCCCCAAGTTGGGGGTGGATTTTGATCCTTTCCTCTGATCACTTCTCGACTCTGTTGGAGCCCCTTTCAACTTTCTGAGAAAAAACTGCAAAGTATTTGTGATCCTTTTGGAAAAGAAGCATTCTGTGAATGGAATCTCAGATGTGAACTGAACACAAACCCAGAGTACTCCTAGTAAAAACTGCACTGAAGCAGTGTCCAGCTGGTTTGTAGACCCAGTGAGATTAGATTTCCTTGAAATATGCTTTACACATGTCCTTGAAACAGCAAGGAAGCCACTTTCCCCTTCCACCCATTCCTCAAAGGACCTGAAGGGCCATTGTCTGAAGCTGTGATTGTGAAGAGTCCCCTTCCCACTCAGAAATCATGTCCAAAATATTTTTCCTTTCACAAAGAAATCATTTTCATCAGCTTTTCACCGCTGATACCAACAAATGCCAGCCACCCATTTCCTAGAGTGTTTTTCTGTCTCTTGCTGTACTGCCTGTAAATTTTCTTGTGTTGGAAACAGGTAATACATTATGGACCTCACTTGTGAAGCAGCTGAGATTGGCAGATAAAAATATTAGAGAAACGGGAAAGATATGGGTCAATAATGCAACAGAAGATTTTTTTTATTATTATTATTTTTTATACAAGTCTCTGAACCTCCAGATTTGTATTCTTGTTTAAATAGCAGTTTCCATCATCTGCTTGACATATTATCTGTCCCAGCACACAGGCACACGGTCAGGAGGAAAATCCTTCCTTGAGAATGATGCATTGCCAGAGCTCCTGGGGGCTCCTGCCTCCACAGGGAAGGCTGCACAGAGCTGGGATTTGCAGTGTACCCCCCCTGGCTGGAATGGTGGCAGTGCCAGCAGGGAATCATCAGCCCTTTTCCGGGATAACAGCGAGTTATCCATCACGGCACCGAGCCCTGCCAGTGAAGCTTTCCCTCAGCAGAGGGAGTTGTTTCTCAAGGTAATAAGAAAAGCATTATCTGATTGCATTTTTGTCAGGTATGTCCTATTTATTACCTTACCTGTAATCTAATTTGTAATGTATTTCCTTGATATTTTCTATACTTCCCCTCTGTATTTTGTAATAGCTTCCCCTGAAAGCCTGACCTACAAAAAAGACAAGGTTTTTAATCCAGCTTTGAATGATAACACCCTCCAGGTGCCTTTATCTGGAAAAACTCTCCTTGCACAGAGGGAGGTCTGGTATGAAAAACTCAGCACCCTCTGAAAATGTGTTGGGGGAACACTGTTTACCAGCAGCCAAGGTCACTTTGTCCCAGGCAGGAAAATACTTGTGGCTATTTTCTACTTGTGGCAAGGTGATCTTTTTGGTCAGAAAGCCATTCCTGATCCAAAGGAGGTATGTGAGAGGTAGAAACCAGTCTGTCCCAACAGCAGGAAGGCAAGAAAATATCTCTAAGCCACGTAAAAGCTATCACTGATGTGCCTCAGCTGCTGAAAGCTGCTCAGGTGTTTTACCTTGGCTGTCAGGAAAAAGCATAAGGCAGCACTTTGGGGAGAGAGCAGCACCTGTAGGTCCCAGCTAGGTTGGGCAGAGGTGTCTCATGGTGGCAGAGGTGCAGTGTGATGGTCCAGGTACCCTGAACGTGGGGCTGAGGAAGGTTAATTGGCATGAGAAATTATGCATGCTGTGGGAACAGGTTGCATTTTCAGGTTGGTGGCTCACCAGGGCATGAGAGCTTTCTGCCCTCTTCCCACCTGGTTAGTTCTTCTGTTGCTTGGCTGTAAAGCAAAGTTCAAATTCACTGCATGATGGACCTGGATTTCCTGCTTCTGGTAAAGGTGTTTCAAAGTCACACAGTTTTAAAACAAAGAAAGAGAAATGTCCCTTTTTGTGGATGCTAATGAAATTTTTATCTGGGCATCTTTCTGTGAATGTTGGGCCTGAGAGGCACGGATTATGTTAGGGAGAAGGGCTTATTGAGCCCTGGAAATAAATCAGAGGAGGACAGAGGATGAAGATTGCAAATGATAAATTAGCAAGTGACAGAAAACAACTGCAGGAAATAATAAAGCCAGGAGAAGTGTGTGGGAAATGCATAGGAGAGGTTGTTTACAACATGTGCATTGGACTTTCCAGCATTTGACATCTTATCTCTATTTCATTCCATATGTTACTTTATGCATGGATTCCTGTTTTTATGGGGTTTGTTCTATAGTTTTTGCACTAACATGAATGACTCACATCTGCTCCAATACTTAATTTATTTTCTAATGTCTTCTGCAAAGGTTTGCTCAGCTCATGTAATACTTGTCAGTGGCGAGATCGGAGGAGCAGCTTCAGGCAGGTGAGCAGGGATAGCTGGGTGAGACAGCTCTTTTCTGGAGTTGTGTTAGGTGTTTTTTTTACCTGTAATTCCCACTTTGGCTGCCCTGTGTGGGCAGGCCTGCTATGCTGGGGCTGTGTATGGAGCCAGCAGGGAACACCCCATGGGACAAGGATGACAGCTGAGGGTCGTCCTTGCAGGACCACGGCCGGCACTAAGCTGCTGCCGGAATACCAACAGCTGATGATTATGATTTTATTTTTTAAGTGTTCTTGACAGCTCTGGAGACACACATCTTCTCTTCCAAATCCAGTAATTAAATTCCACCTACCTGAATTCCCCCTGCTGTTTCAATTGGTTAAATTAATCTTCCCATCATGTCTGAGCCTCCTCTGTGTGTTGTTGAACGGTGGCCTCCTCTCGCCCCGGAGTCGGGCGGGGACGGGCACCGCGACCGACCCGGGCCAAACTCGCCCAGCCCCGCGCATCCCTTGGCGTGCAAGCGGCCCGGGCTCACTCAGGGAGGCCGGGCAGAGGGATGGGCGTCCCCGGTTACACACGGACACCCCCGCACCCCTGGCTGTCCCCGTCCCCGGGGCTGCCTCCCCGCCGGCGCGGAGCGAGCAGAGCGGCAGCTCCCCGGGCACCAGCCCGGCTGCCTGCGCGCTGCACCTCTCCCGGCGAGCGGCTCCGGCTCCAGCCCCCCTCCTCCCGGCGCCTCCTCCTCCTCCCGTTCCTCCTCCCCTCCCCTCCCCTGCAGAGCATGCACAGCCCGGGACTCGCATCGCCGGCTCCGAGGCGGGCGGGCGAGACCGTGCTGCCCGCCAGCCCCGCTGCCGCTGCCCCCCGAGCCGCCCGCGGCTCCCCCTCAGCGCCTCACGCTGCCCCCGCCGGACTTTTCGCTCCTGCCGAGGATGAGGCGGCCGACGCGGCGGCTGGCGCTGTCTCTGCTGGGGGTGCTCTGGCTCGCCGCCCTCCTCCTCTTCTTCTTCGGGGCGCGGAGGAAGTTGGAGGCGCCGGAGCCCGAGGGACACACGCCGGAGGTGAGGAAGGGGCGGCGGGGCCGCGGCTGCTCCGGCGGGACCTGGGCGCGATGCCGCCGCCGCCGCCCGGGGAAGTTGTTCCCGGCGGTTTTCGGGACCTCTCCCCACCCCATCGCGTTCCCCTTCAAGTTCGGTACTGGACCTGTGCCTTTGCGGGGGGGCACTGGGGCCCTTTCCGTACCCCCCGGGCTTGGTTTTCCCCCTCTCCTCCCTCCGCTCGGTCTCGGACAGCGGCAGCCCCAGCCGCGCCCCCCGGCCCCGCTTCACCGAGGGTGCCCCGGCGGTACCGGCCTTTTGTCCCGCCGCCAACTTGGAGCATCCCATGGGGAGCGAGGGGAGCGGTGCTCCCCGAGGGAACCAGAGGCGTGGTTCGTGTCACGGGTGGGGGACCGGCGGCTGCTTTACCCCTGGGTCACTCCGTGCTCCCGGGCTCTGCCCTGAAGGAGAGGGGCTCGGTCCTGCCCGGGCTGACAGGACCGGAGAGGAGCACACTTGCATGGTCCGTGTTCGGCGTACTCGGGCTGGGCGAGCCCGGTCAAAGCGGGAGGCGTTCGGGGCTGGAAGAGCAGGATCGGGCAGCGCTGCTGCCCTGGGAGCCCTGGCCGGGCTGGAACGAGGGTGCCCGTGCATTCAATCGCGGCTTTCCGTGCCGTGTCTGAGTGCCCAGAGTGACAGCACGGCAGAGATGCGAGGAGCATCTCCTGCGCACAGGGAGTGAATGAATCGGAGGAGTTTCGCTGCCCAAACGAAGAGCAGGGGAGCTACGAGAGCTTCGGCTGAACGAGGTCCCGGCTCCTCTCCGGCTCCCGTGTCCTCTCCTCCTCGCTGAGAGCGGCTGGGGCTTAGCTGAGGGTTAACTTTCCAAAGGACATGGATTAGATGCTGCTTAGTTGTACTGTTGTAAATCTTGAATTAATTAATCCGGGTTAGAAGCCCAGCTCCTGAAAATACTCTGAGATTGGGGTTATTGTGGCAGTGGAAGGGTGTGAGCCCTCATCCCGTTTTGTTTGCATCAGTGACACCCAACAGTGTTTGGCCCACAAAATGGGACAACTTTACATGTTTGCCTCATCTTTGGAGAGTCTCACCTTACCTGTGTCTGTCACCTCAGCAACTGAATTAACGACCTGATTGGAGAAAAAAAATAAGTCAGAACTCATAAAGCTTACTTTGATTTTTTCATCCTGAGGAATTATTGGTTTTCCATGTTTTTTTAAATAAAAATGATTGAGGAGGTTTCTTCAGGCTTTTGTAAATCTTTCAATCCTAGAAGAAGGGAATGAATCTATGTGACTTCAGGCCCCAAAAAGACATAATTATCTATACATTTATTTATTTATTTAAGCTGGGGAAGGCAATAAATAAGTTACTGAAAGCAGAGTTAGGAGACGAGGGCTTTCTTAACTAGAACTGTGCTTCGGTATCAGAACTGTATTGGTAAAGATGGCAAAAAAAGACCTCCCCTGTTTGACAGAGGCTACTATAGTCTCCTTGAAATGAACCTTGCTTTTCGCTTAGCACCAGCTGCCGCCGAATCGCTGCCATTTTGCAGCCCATTTTGAATTTCTGCTCCCATTCAAGGCTCCCCCAGCTCAGGGTGTAGGTTGCTGATGCTGTTACAGGCTGGTCTTGGCTCCCGCAGTAGGTGAAGGGAACTTCTGCCACACAGGATCTGTCCCCACATTTTGAAGACGCCACTGCCAAGTTGCCATAACTCCAGCAATCTGACTGCTTAAATTGCCTCTCCTTCATTTCTTCTGAATTTTCCATCCAAACAGTTGCATCCCCTTGAGATTCATAAAGTGCAGATTGTTTTTTGTTTGTTTTTTTTTTTAATGCATTGAATTTTTTGGCTTTGCAAACTCCTTTGGAACAGTATGACTTATAAGCTGCTTATGAGCATGGGGATGTGGTGTCCCTTCAGTTAACACTTCTGACTGGGCTACCAGAGGCAGGAATGCTGTGCTCCAGAGAGGAGCCTGGTGCTGTGTCCTCTTGCCCTGGCCACTGGAACTGCCTGCTACTGATGAAAACTTGAGAAGTTAAGGGTTGTCCTCCCAAATTCCTTGGGAAACCAGAGGAGGTGATGGATTGCTAACAGCAGCTCAAACATTGTAAGACAGCTACAGAGGGGAAATGGAGCAAATCCACATAAACTTTCCTGGCAGCATTTTCCAAGCTGTTCCCTGCCCCCTTCTCTCCCAGTTGAGCTGTGTTCTGTGGACATGGGCACACCGTGTATCATGCCTTGTGTAGGTTTAACCTTTAGACCTTTCCAGTTAAGCTCCAGCTGGTATTGCTGCCCGTGCCTGTCCCCAGCAGGGCTCCCAGCACACATCCATGCTGGATGGCAGTGCCCGAGCTCCCTGGCTGCCTGTGGCACTTTGGGGGCTTGCTGAGAGCTCACAGAGCTGCTGCCCTTGGCTTCATGGATGCCCATCAATCACTGTTATCTTATTCTGCACCCTGCCCTCTGCTTTACCCCAAATCCCGAGCCAGGTCGAGGCTGCAGCTTCCCAAAGGAAGGCTTGTGATGTTTTTCTTGCAGTCCTGTGCTGGGGTGGGCAGGGTCTCCAAGGGCAGGACCTTGGTGTGAGGGATGCAATGCAGTATTTGAGTCCTTGCTTTGCCCAAAACATGCTGCTGGCTTGGCATCTTAAGGACCTGGTGAAGGCAGGCGTTCAGGGAAGGTCTTGCAGGAGTAGCTGAGCTTTCCTGAGCTGCTCATGCCCAACGAGGTGGGTGCAGCAGTCTGTTGTAATTAACTTGGCTTCACCTTGCCCTGTAATTTTTTTCCCTTGTATTCCCCTGCAGTCCATCTCTGTGGATCTCTTGCTGCTGCCCAGCAGCAGGTAGGCAGGCAGAGGACCCCCCTTCTTGCCAGCCCTTGCTTCCCTCAACCCCTGGCACCTCCTTTCCCTCCTCCTCCTCCCTGCTGCCTGCAGCTGCTGGTGGTGCATGCCAGGGCAGCAGCAGCAGGTTGGGGCTGGATTTTAGGGTGTGGGACTCCCTCCTGGCCGGGAGGTGTAGCAACCTTGCAGGGCTGGTAGGGCATGGAAGAACAAAACTGGCTGTGTTTAGGACCATGAAGTTGTTCCTGGGATAACTTCACCAGTCCCTCCAGTGCTGTTTTTAGTGCTGTTGCTTGGGGTTTGGGGGTTGTTTTTTCTCTCTTTTCCAAGGGGCAGATCAAGCCCTGTTAGAACAGTCGCCCTTTTGCTGCCTTTTGTGCAGTCCTGTGACTTGGCTGGGAAGTGGAGCTCTGTGGCAGGGTGCCTGCCCCTGCCAGGGAGCTTTACCCAGCCCAGCCTGCAGGGAAGCCCAGCCTGATGGATGGGGCTGTGAGGACACGGGGCTGCCCGGGGTCATGGATCAGCTGGGACTCGTTGATCCTCCCTCCTCCCCTGCCTTTTGGCGGAGGGTTTCCAAGCACTTTGCAAGCTTTAATTAGCTCCAGCCTGTCTCCTTGTCCCGGCAGTTTTCCAGCTGGATAAACCAGGACCCAGAGAGGCTAATTGAACTTTGTACCCTTCTGTCTCTCGTGGACTCCAGAGGAATTGGAATAATTTTATCCTCTTGGAAAATGAGGCTGCCAGTGACCCACCTGAAGTCCCCCAGGGAGGCAGTGGTGGGGCTTGGCATGAGCTCCAGTAATCCCGGGCTCATGGCCCCATGCTGCTGCCTGGCATCTCCCCTGCCTCCCTCTGATCCATCCCCCTGCTCTGATTTTGGGGGGGACATATAAACTAATAACTTAATTACATTAAGGAATAATGAGGGGAACTGATACACGGGATTAATTACAAGGAAAATCCCAAATTAATTGTGAGGAGTGCTTGTAGCTGGCTCTGCAGCGATGCTTTGCTGGTGTGCTGGCTCCTGTGTCCTGTGCCCGGCTGTGGCTGGGGATGCTTGTGAGGGAGCAGGAGATGAGCAGGTGAGTAATAAACCCTTGGTCATCTCTTTTTCTGCACCTGTATCAGACCACAGTGGCTGTGTGGCAGAGCCCTGCAGCAGGGAGGGGTTTTTGGTGGTCTGGGCTCCCACACTCAGGTCCAGCAATGTGCAGGACTAAAAAAAAAAATCTAGTTTTTGTTTGGTTTAGGATTTTATTTCCCTTCATTCCTTCCTGCATGCTAGCTTGCTCCCTCTGATGAATGGCTGAAGCACAGCTGACAGCCTCTGGAGGGAAAGCAGGTCTGTGACGGGCTTGACTGCAGGAGAAAAGCTACAGAGGAAAAGTTTCCTTTATTAAAAAGAATGACCTGTTCTACTTGACTTGTACTAGTGTTTGCAATGCAACATCTCCTTTCTGAGTGTGCT